CACACACACATTTAGTTGGCTTGGAGCTGCACCTGCTGGAAACCGGGCTGAGTGTCCTGCTGATCGGCCAACCATTTTAGAAAGCAAATGGAACATCAGATCACTTGCATGGGGATGCTGCCAAACACTGTTGAAATGTATTCCAACACGTGAGTCTCTCACCAACTGGCCTAGCTCAGTTGGTACACCCCTGACCTGTCAAAATACAGACCCGAGTTCGAACTCGGCTAGACGCAGATAAGTGAAATACTACAATTTTCGATTACCGAGGGATGGTCAGTTCCATGATCATATCTCAAGGCCGTCGCCCGTTATAAGAAGAAAGAAATGAAAGGGAAGGAAAGGGGAAAAAGAAAACAAAAGGAAGAAAGAAGATATGGAAACAGTTTAAACAAGTACGTCAGCAATCAATTTGTCTCGTAAAAAATGAAAACAAATATCTTCGTCGGATCAATGTAAAGCAATTATTTTAGGATCTCTTCTGGGAGATTCACTCAAAATATTCAATAAGAATGCAAGATTCTCTGATGAGAGGAGTTATTTGAGTGATAACCCAGGTTTCAATGTTAGGGCAACCTCTGACTGTGCCACGCTGGCCGAGACTGGGTCATTCCAAGGGGGTGAGCTACTTGTGTGGCCCGTATGCGTGTAACCCACAGGCAAGCACAGGCCGACACTTGTGTAGCATACAGCCTGGGATGTGCCACCTACATGAGGTCAGGTGTGAACTACTTGCGTGGCAATGCTCAGGCTGTGTGGCACTGATATGTCATGCACTGTGCACAAAAGCGCGCGTCCAACCTTGACACATGCCTTGGTCACAAGCCCCTCTTCTTCCTTCTCCTCTTTCCCAGGACCCATTTCAATGCATGAACTTGGTGAGACATTTCTCGGCATAAGTACCTCTTCTTCCTTCTCCTCTTTCCCAGATTCACATTTAAATCATGGCACCAACGAGATGGAACGATGCCTTTTACAATAGGGGAGTAAGACCCAGAAAGGCACTCGACTACATAATTCCCGAGGACAAGGAGAGAGAGAGAGAGAGAGAGAGAGAGAGAGAGAGAGAGAGAGAGAGAGAGAGAGAGAGAGAGAGAGAGAAGACAGACATAGAGGGAGAGAGAGAGAGAGAGAGAAGACAGACATAGAGGGAGACAAGTCGCCAGATGCACGTACATACGGGGATCCTCCTGGTGCAGTCCAACAAACATGAGTGTCGGCTCCATCACCTTCATCTTGAAAGTCCTCATTGGTTGCACTCTGTCGCCTGATGATGACCAATCAGGAGTCATAAAGGCACTTGGGATCTTGACCTCTCTCCACATCTGGCTTGTGTTGTTGCGATTCATGCAGCAGACTGCAATGCCAACAAAATTCTGTGACAACAAATGACTTTCCCTTTCAGCATACAGCGAGAATTCTGGCATCTTTTACTTCTCATATCTGGACATCACAACTTTTACTTTCTCTGATCAAATGACTATTTCTCGACTTACGCGTGTCATCTTGTGCAGGGCATATGCTAATCTTCTCTGCATCATTCCAATTTTCCCAGATGTCCTGAAAGACGAGATGAAATGTACTCTATGATCTAGACAGCAACCAACTTTGTCAAGCCACCACTCCCCCCAACGACTTAAATTTGGCTTTCCTGGCCCTACGGACCGGGTTTTTAGGGGGGGGTGGCGACTGGTAGGCACAGGCGGGTCCAGTCCCGAAATTTTCAAGTGCCAACTTTGGCGATTTTTTCACGCTCAGAAGAATTCACAGGAAGATTTCAAAATTGGAAATCCTATAGATTAGGTTGTGATCTATCCACTCAAGAAATGAGTCGAGGTTAGGTTTTTGGAAAGGGATCCTTCGTGATGGGAGAGAGATTACCCAGCCAAGGTCAGGAAACCATGCAACAAGGAGGAGATGCTAAGACAGGCCCTATTCTGTAATCAATGGACAACGAAAGAAAACGGAAGCCCATTCACACTGACTGCAAAAAACACAAAAAGGGGGGTATGGCTAGAAAAAGGAATATGGCAGATCAAACACATCTGGGATGACAACACGAAAGAATGGAAACAAGGCAACCAACTCAGACAACAGCTCAAGGGCTGCCATAGACTAAGCCAGAAACCTACAGGAAGTCATAGCAGCCATCTCACAAGAATGGGTCCCAATACTAAAAAAGGACAGACAATGGAACAAGGGATTGGACGATCTTATCGAATGAGCCGCAACAGAAACACGCCCTAGCATATTGGCGCAGAGAAGAGGACAAACAGAACTGGTACATATTTACTATGCACGAAATAGAGGAACCAGATTCTGATCACAGTAAGATCCACAAAAACCAGTTTTAGCCCGCGAAGATAGCCTAAGGAAGATAAGAGTAATAGAAAACGAAGAGTTAACCATCGATGATTCTGATCACAGCAAGATCCACAAAAACCAGTTTCATCC